TAATTTATTGATTTTAGAGAGAGGGAGAGAGTGAAAGAAACATCGACTGGTGGTTTCTTATTTATGCATTCACTGTATGTGCCCTCAGCGGGCGTGGAACCTGCCACCTTGGCGTAGCGGGATGACCCTCCAACGGAGCTATCCGGCCAGGGCCTCGTACTATGAAATTTAATTTTCCTGTCATGAATAGGAAAATACTTGAATCAGGAAAATAATTTTTATAAAATCACATACACACGAGTCCATTTATATGGAGTTCAAGAACAGGCCGAGCTTCTACGGTGAAAGAAGTCAGAATAGTGGCCCTCTGAAGGGCCGCCGAACAGCCAGACACACGAGGGAGCTTTCTGGGGTGATGCCGTTTTCGGCGTCCTGGTTTCATGGTACACACAGGTAAATTTTGAATTGACCTGTAGATTTAAGATCTGGGCATTGTACTGTGAGTATCTTTGAAAAGAAAATGCACCCACAAGGGAAAGGCAAAGGAGGTGGTATCACAGAACAATTTGGGGGTGAAAAAGGAAGTAGCTCTGTGACAAGACCTCAGTTTCCTCAGGAAGTAGGCTGGTGTAGCAACGAGCTCAGGGTAGAAAGGATGCAGGTGGCCTGCACCTGAGAAAGGGGGACACAGTGCAGCGGCGCCCGCACGGCAGAAATGCCCTGGGAGGGCCCGGGAGCTGCATCGGAGGGAGGTGCGTGCAGGCGCCACCCTGGGCCCCTGGGTCGGCGCTGACAGATGTCAGGAGTCCGCAGTTTATCGGCTGAGCCGAGGTCAGGACTGCGGCTGAGCGCCGGCCTTGAGCGGAGAGGCGTGCGCGAGGCCCGCCTGGCAGAGAGCACCGAGGCCGGCGGGGAGGGGCGGGGGTGGGCGGCAGGATCTCGGCTGCGGTGACAAGGGGCGGGCTCTGCGGCCCTGAGGTTCCCCGCGCAGGCCCCACTCGCAGCGCGGCAGCGCGGGGAGGCACAGGAGGGAAGGCAGCACCCCCGCCCCTCACTTCCCCGGCCCCGCAGGCTCAGGGCCGCCTGAACCCTGCGAGGACCCGTTGCCAGGGCGCTGACGGGGGCGGGGGGGGGGGAACCTCACCCCATCACTCAGCAATCAGCTGGGCAGTTTCAGAGCCAGATTTGACTCCGGAGCCTCTCCCCACCGTACCGGGCTGCCACTCACCTCAGGGGCAGTAGGACGGGTTCGAGAACCCACATGTGGAGACGAGAGCCATCTGGGTCGTGGTGGAGAGTCAGTTGCCCACATGTGGGCAGCGGCCGGGAGCAACCGGGAGAGTCCCAGCGGATGGCATGTGCTTCCGGAAGACAGGGCATCAGGGTGGCAGGAAAGAAATACAGGTCCTGCCTCCTGGTGCCAAGATTCACGGGGTGATGAGTGGCCCCTGCTCAGGTGTTTTTTAAAGTGGTGTCTTCAGGGGACAACCAGGTTTCAGTTTAGAGGGAAGAAACCTGGGGGTTCTAGACCCACTCTGAGAGTTAGCAAGGGGAGGTGCGAGGGAGCTCACAGGCTGAGGAAGGGCTGGCACCACCGGGGCCCAACCACTACACCAAGAGGCAGGTCACCAAGTGTCAGGCACAACTGGCCCCACGCAAAGCCTCAGCTGAAGCCCTTCCCCGTCCTCTCCCCCAGGCAGCCACCTGGGGGCCATTAGCTGCTGTGTCCCAAAAGCCTTGGGCAGCAGCCCACTGATCAGCAGCAGCTACGATAGTCCCTGTTTCACGGGTGACAGTGAAGCCCAGAGCCGAGGTCACTTGGCTAAAACCAGGGCCACGGGCAGGATTTAAAAGCAAGTGCGTCTGGCATCAGAGTTGGAATCTCCCTTGGCTCTGTTAACTGGTAGCCAAATTCTTACATGGGAACTTCAAAATCAACTGTGAAGTGTCCATTCTTAGTGGAGTCTGACCTAAGGTGAGTAAACTTCCTCCTCGACTTCCGAGACTGAGAAGACGTTCCAGTTCACGCCTAAGATGTACATTAAAAAATGAAGGTCTCATATCTTGGGATAAGCAACGGGGCAGATGGTGACAAGACTCCAACTCACAGGACAGACAATGGGGAAGAGAAAAGGCAAAGAACAGAGGCCTAAATTTCCTGCCGGAGGTGACGACACACACACAGACCCTGCATGAGCGGGTCCCACCGGTCCAGAATTGGTTAGATCAGGTGACTCTAGTCACTGCTTCGCAAGGACAGGTCTGCTGGGGCAAAAATGGCATTCCTTATGAAACCGTTACTACTGCAAGAAAAACATCCTTCCAGCACACAGTCGCACAGGGAGAGGAGCCCGCCCGCGGCGACACCTGACGCGCAGTTCACGCACGTTTCTTTTTTAATTCTACAAACCTATGCTGAGCATGTGGGCGTTCCCCTGGGAAGCTCAAGAGCTGTCAGGGCAGAAGCTGACCAATGACAGGGCCTGCACTCGAACCCAGACCTGTCTGTTCTAGACACCACCCGGCTGAGCGGCGCTCCCAGGGGACACACGCACAGGCCCGTGCAGCTCCCCGCAGGCCACCCGCCCCCGCCTGCCCCGCATTCCCAACCGCTCCTCCAGGTGCAGAGAAATGCCCACCGCCCCTCCCCCAGACAGGACCCACAACTTAGGAAACTTTTGTTATAAAACATTTAATGTTAACCTACAATACAATGTAAACTTTTATGAAAAAAATTTAAAGTACACTAGATTTCTTCAATTACATGTAACTATTCCGGTGCAGTCCGAGCTGGGGCACTGCATCCTTTGCGGATGACTTCCTGTTGCTGCGTTCCTCCCAAGTCCCAAAACACCTGCCGTGACATAGAGCTTCTTGTTCAAGCACCAGAAACACTCCCTGACTCTGCATCCTGGGGGTCATCACTCCTCCCCATCGTCATTTTCTGAAATTCCTGCCTTGGCACCATTAGCCATTTTCATACTAACTGCTCAGTTTTTAAGAGAAACAGTTCCCCACCCCCCGCCCCCAGCCATCTCTTAGCCAAACTGACAGTGGAGGCAAGCAAGGAGAAATGTGTGCTGCAGGAAAGTCTGCAGAAGCAGGAAACACAAGGGCCTGCACTGAGGCTGCAGAAATTCAACTAACTCCCACTGGTCTCTTCGCTTGGTCATTTCCCACGTGTCCCGCAGCTGAATCTACAACTTCAGTCCTCGGGAGTGCAAGAGGGAACTTACAAGTGAGTCACCCTTAGGTGATGACTTGCCATTTGGAAACAACAGCTGATACCACCCAGAGGTGATTTGGAAACGAGCAAATGCTTGCAGATCACTGCTTCTCTATCTCCTCCCTGGCAGGTGCCACCGAGTCCCCAGAGACTCCTGGGAGTCACACACGGATTGTACTGGCATTGACAACATGTGCATCTTTCGGGGAGGGAGGAAGGATACCTTGGCAGCAGCTCTAGGGTCAGCAGGGAGATAGGAACAGGTCTGGGCTATTTCACACGGACTAGAAAAGGAGCGCGTGCTTTGGAAGCCTCTGGAAATCTAAAGGCGTAGGCCGTCCCAAGAGTTGTGCCAAGAATTGTACCGACAAAAACAGAACATTTTTAATATTCTGGTGTCTGACTCTGACTTCCTTCACTGAACAAGTTAGCAAAAGGCAAGAGGCGTAAAGTGCACATTGTAGAGTAAGATGCAGATTGGACTATTAAGGAAAACAATTTACAATTTCCCAGAGGTGCGGGCTAGGCAGCACACCAGCCGAGCGGAGGTCCTGCCTTCCCTCCCGGGCTGCCAGGGAAACAGCCTGAAGCCATGGCGAGGGCGGGGCAGGGCGGGGCCGCTCTGAGTGCAGGGGGAACTTTCCTCTTTGCATAGTTCTCAGCAGGAAGCAGACTTCACACAGGGGCGAGTGGAGGACGGGTTTATCCTGGTATTCACTCCAGATACATTTTATGACAATGAGATCCTGCCCAAGTGGCTTCTGGACAGCAGGAAACAAAGTGGAATAATGGGCTCCCAGGAGCAGAATTAAGTTTTCTAGAGCCAGTGTTCTGGCAGCTCATGCCAAGGCCACTGGAAAACTTTGAGGCTCCTCAGGAGACACCCACGAAGCTCCTGCCCCTGCCCCTGGGTGTGTACCCCAGCCACTGAGGTGGCAGAGAAGAGCAGCCAAGCTGCTGCTACCTAAGAGCAGGCCTCAGCTTTTAGTTACACAACAGAGAAAGCCTTCGGACGGCGTGAACCCAGAGAGCTATGCTTCCTCCCGACGCGACCCCGTGGGCCCGCAGCATGCTAGGAGCTACAGAGCTTCCGGAGGTTGCAGCGTTATGAGGAGACTGCACCGGTCTGGCTGCAGAGCACTTTGGAATACTTGTCAGCTCACGCTGGCATCTGGTAACACGTGGCCTGGCCCATGCACCCATTACCATAAACTCAGCCACTTAAAAAACCCTATTACTTCAACGCAGCAATAGAGCAAGAGGATAAAAGCTGCCTCCAGCAGGTGCTACATCAGAAACTGGAATCTGCCTTCTAACAGTCTGCAAGCCTGAGAGTTCTGCCGGGCTCCCCTCAAGGCCTCCAGTCTTTCTGCCCTGAACATGCCGCCCGCGCAGGCGCGTCACGCCCGTGGAGGCAAGCAGGGCGCTTGCACGTGGGTCCGCTGGCGCCGCCCCAGCCCTGCTAGTCCTCTGGGAAGGCACCACGCCTGGCAGTTCAGGAGAGCTTGGGGCCGGGCAGCACGGCACGCACACGTCGGACGAGGAATGAAGAGCTGCTGTCCTTTGGTTCAGACCCCGTAGTGACTGCCTGGTACAGATTCCGAGGAACAGTGCAGTGGGGTGTACAGGTGAGTGTACACAGAGTTCACACTGCACACATGGGTGCATCTGTATACAGCCTTTGCAGGGGCTACAAACCCAGATTTCCACCCAGCACTCCAAGTGGGGTGCACACGTGGCAAGGAAGGACAGCAAGAGTTGGACCAAAGAGAACGACCTCTCCGGGAACTGGAGAGGGCAATGGCAGAAACACCCCACCCCACCGCCCGGGGCACCTTTATTACACTCCTGCGGGCCAAGGAGCCAAGGGCAGGAAACCGCGTCACGGGTTTAAGAATTGGCTCTTTATCAAATAAAGGAAGAAAATACACCTGTGTCAGCCTCATTCCTTTGGTCATTACAAAGCAACAGAAAAAAAATTAAAAGTTATTCATAAATTGTGGGAAGTTCGAGGAACATCTCTGCTCTGTGCCTTCTCTTCCCTTTCTTCTCCAGAGGCAGGAGAAACAAGTCCTTAGGAGATGCTGCAGTAGCTGGTTGACGGAGGTTTGTCACTTTTATTTTCCATAAAAGCAAGAATGGATGAGAACCAGTGGGAACGCCCCCTTCCCCGCTGGACGGCGGCTGGGCGGGCGGCGGAGGCCCCCCGCGGGCAGGTGTGTGGCGAGGAGGCAGGAGAGAGGTGGGCTGCCGGCTGGAACGCTCGTTGCGACCCTCGTGGTGCACAGGCGGTGACTCTCACAGGCAGCGTGGTTTCTGATCCTTCCTTAGAATGCAGCAGTTATTAAAAAAAATATTGTATTTAATAATAATATGAATTTTTATCTCTTGTTTTTCCCCCCATTTCTTTTAGGAATTGAGGCGGGAGGGAGAGGAAGAAGAAGTGTCATTCGTCTGTGAGGTCCTGAACAAAGAGCACTTCCGTGTGGCTGAGTCCGGCCTCCTGCAGCGTCGGGGGGCGGGGCCACTCCGCTGATGGGATGCAGGGCAGCACCCTCCGGGGAAAGTTGGCTTCAATCTGAAACTTCTCGGGGCTTTCTTTCAAGGAGAACAGGAAGTCGTGGATCACCTGCAGAGGTCGCACAGAAAGTGAAGGGCGTGAGAGACAGACACACATGCCACGCCGTGAAATCAAACATCCCCCAGACATGGAATGATCACATGACACTGGAATCCAAATTCCAAGCCTACTTCAAAGTTTTGCCGTGTCAAAGAGCAAACTCGCAGGGCAGCTCTTTTAAGAGATTTATTACGCAGCCCAGTGCCAGTCCCTCTCTGAACCCGCTCACCTGCTTCTCCCTTTGATAGCTTGTCTGATACAAAGCTAAAGAATTTTTACTCAGAAATAACCACAAGTACAAAAAATTACAGGACACAGAGGTTTCCCTTTCTCTGACCTGGCTGACAGAGAGCTGCCGGCCGATGTCCCTTCCACCTGAGGACACTGGCCTGTGCCTCACACTCGGGACACTCTCTGGCGCGTCCGCACACAGCTCTCCGGCAAGGCAGGATCTTTAACTGATTTAATCGTTATTCAGGCCCCTTCAAGTCTCATCAGCTGCCTTTTACAGCAAAATAACGCAGTGTAGAGCAGCGTGTTGCACTGAGATGTCACCTCTCTCTGCTTCAGGCCGGAGCAAATCCTCAGTCTTTCCTGACTTTCCTGACCTCGACACTCATAAAGCCTCCCGGTGGGATTTCACTGCAATTTGACCTCAGCTGCGCCTCCCCGGCAGGGGCGTCACGGACACGCCACGCTCTCCTCAGTGCGTCCCACGCACGCAGAGCCACTGTCTGCCAGTCCCATGACCTACACTACCCACATTGGTAACTGGAAGTTATTCTGTCCCTTTGTCATTAATGAGTACTTTGTAGGGAGGCACTCTGAAACTAGGGAGACAGCTCCTCAAACTTTATTTATATTACTATAGAGTCATGATTTCCTATTTTATTAGGTAGGTTATAATGTTACAATCATTTATTTTAATGTTCAAACTATTCCAGATAGAGTCGGACGCAGCCCATTTAAGCTGACTTCTATGTCTGACGTGTCTCACGTGCCTCCACTGTTCTCTGAATAATTACGTGCTTTTGGGCACGAGGTGCTCCAGGTTCATCTTGCGTTTTCCCTGCCCCAGCCCTGGCATCAGCCATTTCTCCAAGGACCCCTGGTCTCCCTTTCGTACACGGGTACGAAAAGCCACCGTCCAGGAGGCAGGCACGCTCGCCACCGCGGGGGCACTGCTGCTCCCAAGTGCTCTCCGGGGAGAAGGCTGGAGACTGCGCGCGCACACGTCTATATCTACTTGATACACCAGGTTGCTACACACACACACCTGATGCCGGGGTCCGTCCCCGCTCCTCACCCGGTTCTGGCTTTAACATCCCAACCCATCCTGGGCCTCTGACTTCCTGCAATGGGCTGTCCCCACCTGTGGACGCCTCCTTCACCTGGTAGAGACCTTCCCCACGGGCCCCTCTCCTGTGGGAATGCCCCTTGCCCCAGCTCTGACAAGGCGCAGAAGTATGGCAATGCCAGGAAAACTCACACTGCTGAAACTCAGAACGCAAGACCCCTACGGACCAGGGCATCTTTGTCTTTCTCTTCATGCCACATTGAGGTGCCCTGGAGCCTGGCATTCTGTGTCTAACAAAGGCCCTAGGTATTTGCTGTGAAGGCAGCGCTAACCCCTTTCAGGTTGAGCCCAAAGACCAGGAACGCACCACTCAAGTTATCCTTACTTTCGGAGAAAACGGACTTCTATTTTCTTTGTGTTCCACCTCTCGTTAAGTTTAGTCCCCTCTGTGTGAAGCAGCCCTCCCTTTGTCTTAAACTTACCTCCTTAGAGCATTTGAGGGGCTATAATTCCAGGATTTAAGGAGTAAACTCATGGTCGTCTTATCTAATTCATTCATAATTTTAACTCCGTGTATTTTAGTCTATCAACATCTATGATTTTCAGCTCCCTTCTCTGACTTTTTGCAATTTCCAGTAACGTTCACTCTCCTTTTCTTTTGAGATGCATCAATTAGACTTGCACCAAGTATTCTCGGTATGAATCCAACATGGGTTTTAGGTACAAGTGATACAGTATTTCATTTTCTTTTCAATCCCTGCTTAAGAATACAGCAGCTCCGTTATCTGCGGGGGATGCGTTCCAAGGCCCCCAGTGGATGCATGAGAGTGTGGACAATACTGAACCCCTCTACATGTTATACACGTTTATGTTTTTTTCTATATATGCATACCTGCGATGAAATTTAATTTATAAATTAAGCACAGTAAGAGATTAACAGTAAAATATAACAATATGATAACATACTGTAATAAAAGTCACAAATGTGGTCTCTCCCCCCGACAACTAGGAACAGGGTGAGAGCACACGGCGCAGGCGCGCTGGACAAAGCGGGGACTCACATCCTGAGCAGGCCGCTCAGGACAGTCTGGGACTTAAATCTTACGAGCTTTTTATTTCTGAAATTTTCTATTGAGTATTTTCGGACCACAGTTGATCGTGGGAAACTAAAACCACAGATAAGGGGGAACTACTGTTCTCAACCTTGGTACAAAACTGGCATTTTTTGTTACCACTGACAGTGGGTGACAGGAAACAGGTGACATCACCTCAAAAGGTCCCTTCCGGTCCATGGTGGACAGGAAAACGAGCTCTGGGCTGAGTGTGACTTGGGTCACCTGTATACGCCTTGCTTAAGAGAAACCCAGACGCTGCTTTTCTGGCCACTCATGGGGCTAAGAAATTTTTTGACAGTTTGTCCTTTGTTACCTTAGCATTTTACTACTAACAAAAGCTGGGCATCACATGCAAACTATTTCACTGAACATTCACTCATCCTTGAAGATTATTTATTTATGAAGCACGGAGCTCCCAGGAAGAAGGCACAAAGTCTCCAAGAGCATTAAGAAACCCTAAGATATTCGGCGGTAGATTATTTGCCTCCGTGAATGGGAAATGACAAGCCTGAAGGATCACAATGCTTTACCACTTCTTTCCCGTCCCTGAGCCTTGTCCCCATCTATGACCAAGTATTTCTCAGTCTGTAGTTTGTTTTTTAAATAACTTTTACTGAGAACCTATTTGAAAACCTTTAAGGATTAAATAGTTAACAAATGAGTTGCTTCCCTTTTGGCCACAAGCCTGTTCTGTTCCACAATTTTAACAGACTTTCCTGTAAAACTCTCGAGAGTAAAATTTTGGTTAGTTTTTCATGTATGTACCGAGAATCTGTCCGACATACTACAGCCAAACTGCCAGTGAACATGGCTGCCAGCCGAGACCCGCAGGCCAACCAGGGCTGGGAAACACGCAGGGAGGGGTGTCGCTCAGTGACCACCTGCCGCATGGCGGGTGCTGTGTGAAGCTCTTCCATTTTGTTCTAATTTATAGCGCCCCCCCGCCGAAGTCAGACATGTGAGTGCCTTCCCCCACATACATAAATGAGAGAGAAAATGAGGGAGCTTCTTGCTTCTCACTCACCAGGATGGCTCATAACCTTTTACTCTATTTCAGCTCTTCCAGCCTTACATTCCTTACTGGCCGGTAAACTCGAAAAACTCCAGACCCCCGTCCCCAGTATAATCCCTAGAGCACCCAGTGTGCCTGACGTATCTTCAGTTTAAAGTTACCCGAAGGCCGATTACATCTCCATTTCACAGGCGGGCTGCCGTGAGGCTCTGCAGAGCATCCTGCGACTTGTCCGGCAGTGAAACACGGAGACGCGCCAAGTCGGGCAGCGGGACCCCGGACCGCAGCGCACCCTCATTTCCAGTATGTACTTTACTCTGACTGTTCCCAGTGACCAGGGAAATGGCAGAATCTACTGCAGTTCTAAGTCTGGGAAATCAACTCTCAACATAAACAGAAGCTTCTTTTTGGTTATAAATACCAAAAATAAGATAGCATTTGAGTTATAATGAGCCAGGCACATGCTGAACATTTTACATATGAATTTAATCCCAACAACAATCCTACCACGGAGAGCTTATTACACCTATGTTACAGACGCAGAAACTGAGACTGACAGATTAAGACAAGTGACCGAAGAAACACATCTCGTGACTCTGGAAGAATGAGAATTGGATCCCCATTCCGTGAGATATTTATTAATAGAGTGCCGGCTTTCAAATACTTCCCTACGGAATAACACACACTGTTTTTCTACGGAAGCCAGATTTACAAGGGAGCCCCACAAAGTGGGGCTTCTCACGGCCTCCGTGGGCCGAAAGGGAGAGTGACGACTGTGTGCGGAGCGCCCGTGCTTTCCTACTCAGACGCACAACCCCCGCTCCTGGGCCAGTGGAGACAGAGCTCTCTCTGCACAGCAATGGGAGCCTCTCACCTCGCACACAGGCTGTGTGGGGCTCCCTGGCAAGGCATATCTTTTCCTGAGCTGAGCCCAATCACGCTGAAAGGAGCCCTGACACTGCGGAGGGCGGGCCGCAGGACGGAAGGCACCTGCGGTGGGCCGCCGCACCCCTCCCGCCCTCCTCCCTCTGCTCCCCTTCCTCCCTGGCTCCGCAGCGCGGCAGGCACACCAACCACACGCTGGCAGCTCCTCGCAAGCCTCTGAGTCTACAGGCCAGACTTTCCACCCGCGGTCACGCGACATCGGCGGCCCTTACTGTTAAAGACTGGGAGAAGTGGAACCGCCTCTCTACTCGAGAATCATTAGGTAACTTGAAAATGATCTTGACACTTTCAGGGTCGTCAGGGGAAGGCTCAGGGGGCAGGCACTCCAACTTCCTTTCCTTTTCCTCTTGCAAATTCTGTAGAAACATAAAGCAAAGGTGAGGCTGTAGCTCCAAAAGGGAAACAGGACATACAATCATCACGTAGGTCTACTCTGTAGTCAAGAAAACATTAGTACTAATATACTAATCATCATGAAAAAAACTTGGCAAGACTCATGAACAACCGAACTCAAAGTACTATTATTGCATCACATGTACTTTTTATTGACTATATTCAGGTATTTAACTTTGAAATAAATGGAATGACTAGAGGACACTGGCTGTAATCAAGTGGGAGTATAAATGAAATGCCAAAGGAGCCAACACTGCTACTAAGAATGAACAGCCCTGGCTGGTGTGGCTCAATGGATTGAGTGCTGGCCTCAAAGCAAGGGGTTGCTGGTTCATTTCCCAGTCAGAGCACATGCCTGGGTTGCGGGCCAGGTCCCCAGTAGGGGGCGCTCACACATTGATGTTTCCCTTTCTTTTCCCCTCCCCCTCTAAAAATAAATAAAACCTTAAAAAAAAAAAGGAATGAACAGTTAGAAATTACTGCTGTGAATAAACAGCACTGTGAACTGTTTATTATTTATATTTACTTTTGATGGAACAGAACTGTTTTGCCTTTTACTCATGGTTGTAATTTTTTAATTAAAATTTTTATAAATTTTAAAATATTTTTATGAAAATATAGTCAACACAGCTCAGGCTTTTGTGGCTCAGGCATCATCCTATAAACCAGAAAGCACCAGTTCAATTCCCGGGCAGGGCCCGTGCCTAGGCTGCAGGTTCGGTCCCCAGCTGGGGAGCGTACGGAAGACAACCAACTGGTGTTTCTAACCTTGACGCCCCCCCACCGCCCCCACCTCTAATCAATAAACATACCCTCGGGTGAGGATTTAAAAAAAAGGGAAAGACCAGTTCAGGAGGCATCAGGCGTAGAGACAGGCGCCTTACCCGCCGCCGCCTCTCCTCTGCCAGCTTTTGCTGTTTCACCTCCTCCTCCTTCCGCCGCTTCTGCTCGCGCTCCTCCCGCTTCTTCCTTTCCTTCTCCTGGTCGGCGCGGAGGGAGGCCAGGTAGGCCTCGTCCTGCTGCTGCCTCAGCACCTGGGTCTGGTTCCGCTCTTCCCTGAGGACAGATCAGAGGCACACAAGAAGAGAGTAGTCTTAGCAAGCTCTGGGTTTTCTTATGTTGGAATGTTGGGGGTAAAGAGGTTGACAATCTCGGCAGAGGACCAGTCGCACTACCTTACAAGGTTCCAAAGGAGACTGTGGCAGAACCAGGACCGGTCATCTCTTTCCCCAGTTTAATTTGACAGAAAAAAGAAATGGCAAGGTTTTCCCTTCCCTTCTAACTTCATTGTTAAAATTAAACTTTTTTACAAATTCTAACAGAAGTAACAGGATGAGTGTTATAAAACTATCATCAGATCACATTTTACAGAAAATAACCTTTTGAGCCACTACATTTTTGTATATGTTATTTCATGAAACCAAAACTATATACACACATCTTAGAAGACTTGAAAAACGTAGGAACATATTATTCAGAATTCTACCAACCAAAGAGAAAACACTAACATTCTGTTATATTTCCAACTTCCTCGCCAAAAAAATTGTGTATGTATATAGGAGTGTGTATCTATATATTTATTAATGTTATTATTTTTAAAGAGCTTACATTTTAAAATTTTTATTTATTCATTTATTTTTAAAGAGAGCAGAAGAGAGGAAGAGAGGGAGAGAGGGAGAGAAACGTCAATGTGTGGTTGCCTCTCGCGTACCCCAAACTGGGTACCTGGCCCGCAACCCAGGTACGTGCCCTGACTGGGAATCAAACCAGTGACCTTTAGGTTCACAGGCCGGCACTCAATCCACTGAGTCACACCAGCCAGGACTATTTAATTTTTTTATCATCTTGTTTAAAATCCTCACCTAAGTTTATTGATATGAGAGAGAGAGAGAGAGAGAGAGACAGGCAGACAGACAGACATCAATGTGAGAGAGAAACATCAATCAGTTGCCTCTCAAGGGTGTCCCATCTGGGGACCGAACTTACAACCTAGGCATGTGCCCTGACTGGGAACTGAACCTACAACCTTTCAGTTTACAGGACAAGGCTCCAATCAACTTAGCTACATGGCATGTCTGTATAATTAAAAAAAAATGTAACAGAATGTTAAAAGTGGTGCTGGGATTATGGGTGACTTTAAATTTCTTCTTTGTGCTTTTGTTTTCCAAATTTTCTGCAACCAGTGTACATTACTTATGTAATGGGGAGAAGAAGAGTTACAGTCATTCCTCGTTTTTTACATGTCAGCTCTTTATAAGCAAGGTTCTGCTACTCTAAATGACGCAATATATATATACGCTGGAGCACAGAGCCCTATTTGTATTTTGATTCATATCGCTAAGAAGAGGTGATCTGATGGAGCAGTTATTTATGTCAAAATACGTAAATATTTTAACACTAAATGGATAAAGCTTTTAAAGTTGCGGAGAGAGAGAAGCCATGATCTGCGGAGCCCAAGGTGAGCTGGGTGCTCTCAGTGCGAGAGGAACACCCCATACCTCTCCAGGCGCTCCGACACCAGGTAAGTCTGGTTGGCATCCATGATGAACGTCAGCTGATTGATGAGGTCATCAGGCTGAATGAGGCCTTCCAGCCGGCCCACCACAGTCATCCTCCGGTCCTTCAGCATAATCATGGCCAGGAACGGATAGGTGTTCTCTCGTAAAGCCTGTGAAACTGACAGGAAGACGACCCCACCGTCAAGAGCAGGACTTTGGAAAAAACAGATCAACTCAAGACTTTCTGCAACAAGCAAGAGAGAACTGCTTTACTCCCAGCTGCTGGGAAAAGAAGGGGGGATTTCATTTACTCTCTGCCTCTTTTCCCTCTTAGTTCCTTCATCTTTTGTTGTTGTTGTTCTTACACATTTGTGTCCGTTCTCCCAGGTAGTTATATTAGAATAGAAGAGGCTCCTCTGGTGGGGGTGTGGTTGTCATGATGACGCTAGGGAAGCCGGCGGATGTCAAGGACCATGTCTCTGCTTAGCGTAACCCTTCCCTGCGGAAGCGGAAGGGACCCGGCCAGCAGGGAACAAGGCTGCGGGTCTTGGCCATCGGCTGGTGCTGACCCCCAGCACCGCCGCCTCCTGTCTCCCCGTGCTCCTACCCAGTCCCCTCCTTTCGCCAGGTCTTCTTTTTGCCCACAAAAAAAGAGCTAGCTTTGCTGTTTCAAAGGCATCTAAAAAGTAGGTCTCTAAATAACCAAGACTTTACCACAACAAAGTTTTACCTCTGATTTCCTTACAGTTTGAAAGAAGAGAGTTTATAAATTTCTATTAAAAAAATCCTTATCTCCTTCTATCCGCCACCTACTACCCCAAAGCCAAATGAGAACAGCGAAGGCAGGCTGCGGGAACTCAGCAGCAGGCAACACATCCGCTGCCTCTTTGGTTCTCCGGATCTAGCACAGCGGCTGGTACACACACTCGAAAGTTGCTGAATGGAAGTAGCTGCAACGTAACTCCGTTTTTCTTCACTGTAAGTCTTTGTATCTCATACTGACTTTTAAAACTAGGTAAGAGTTGTCAGCAAAGAGCTGAACTTCCTGAATCCTTATCAGCACTCAAGGTACTCAAATAACTAACTCATTGTGCAAGAAGCTCTATTAAAATTACTGATGATGAGAATAAACCTTCAGTAAGACGCCCATTAAGATTCAAGGCAAGCTGCTGGCCAGGACTGGGTGTTTTTAAGAATAAAACAGCTCTGGCAAGGGTTAACTGTAAAGAAAGAGCTAGGCTGGGGGGCTGGGTGAAAAAAAGTGAAGGGATCAAGCAGTACCAACTGGCAGTTATGAAACAGTCCCAGGAAGGCAGAGCGGGGCACAGGGAACACTGCCAATCACAGCACTGCATGTGCCAGGCGGATCCGGGCTGATTGGGAGGGTCCCTCCCAGCGTGCACAAGTTACACACACATTTAACCGCTATGCTGTATACCTAAAACAATGTCATAGTAAATGTCAACTGTAACTGAAAAAACATTTTTTTAATTTAAAAAATAAATCAATAAATAAAACGAATGGGCCATAGTCTGCAAGGCCTGGGCGGGCTCCAAAGCTTGCCCCCTGGGCAACCCGGGCCAGGCTGAGGCTCTCTGAGCCCGCTCCCTGCCCCGTGACGCGGAGGAACCGCCGCCCAGCCTCTTGGGGCTGCGCGGAGGGTTAGAGGAGATGACGCAGAAACAGCAACCGACACCGTGTCTGCCACAGATTAATCGTGCAATAAGTGCCCGTCTTTCCAGATTATTCCTGAGACGTCCCAACAGTCACGATGAGGAAGGAGAGCCACCACTTACCCCTATATCCCTCGGGCTTGTTTGTGGAGCACGCCCAGAAGAGCATCCTGGTGTTTATGAGAGAGATCACTTCAGGGGCACAGAGGGTGTTGCTGTGGAGAGGGACGAAAAGCACGTGAGAAGAGCGCGGACGCGAACTCTCAGCAGGTGAGGTCAGGTGAGAGAGAAAACCACCACCCCGCTTACCGACAGAACTCGTCGGAGTCCTGGTGGTCGTCCCCGTGAAGATAAACCAAAAGAAAGCGAAGCTCCCGCTTGGCATCGTTAAGAGCCTGTGGGACACAGAGGGTCACGAATTATCATGATGACTGTGCTCTGGGCGTTTCACTAGGCAAAGGGTCCTAACGGGTACATTTAGGAGCAAAAGGAGAAATGAGGCACTCAGGTGAGCAAGGAGGCGGAGGCAGAGCTAGGCCCCCGCCTTCACACCCTGGAGCTCCTCTCCCTACCAAGGCCCAGGCCAACAAGCTTGACGGGAAACATTTCAGTGCTGGCAGGACCGAAACTGTGGCAGGCACATGAGCGTGCACGGGCTGACAAGTACAAGCCCCTGACAAACCACTGAGGTCAGCTCTTCCCAGCCTAAAGGAAGGTGAGACAGGCAGAGTGGCTGGCCACGTGAAAAAGGAAGTGAGAACGTTGCCACTTTACAGCTCTGACAGCCTCCTAAGTGAGAAAAGGCTGCGAAGGTGACCCCAGGCCCTTTACCGAGTAGGATGGAGGGCGGCAGGACCCAGAGGCATCCTAAAGAGCTTGGTTTTAAGGGGTCTTCAAAGACAAGGCCACAGTGTTCAGGGTTCCTGTGTGTGCTTTTGTATTTGCATAACCCTGAGCCCATTTCAATTCAATTAAGACTTCTGGAATGAGCTCTGGTGGGCTACCCTCAGCATCACAGCACAGAGAGGCGCCGTCCCACTCAGCATCTCCAGCCCTGAGCACCGCGCCTCGCACAGAGTAGGTGCTTCACGCTTGCTGAGTGGGGTGGGAGCAGCCGGGGAGGGAGAGTGGCCGTGAGAAAAAGCAGATGGGAAAGAATCAAAGCAGGAGGTGAAAGTGAGCATTTCTCTTTTTCTCTTGACAGAGTTAGGAATCCTGGTGGATGCAGAATATGACCACCCTTTGGCCTATGCCCACAGTGTTATTTCCACATTTTCTCCAACAATCTAGAGATATGCTCAACACCCAGAGAGCTTGCACTTTTCACCCCACGATAACAAGTGAAGGTCAGTGTGGCTTAGGCTAATGAGATGCGTGGCCTTATTCAGCTTATTATGGTGAGGGATCAAAGACGACTCAGGCTTTGCCTTCAAGGGTCTTGTCGTCCAGCACAGGAGAGGAGACACAGACACAACCAACCAAAATATAGAGAAGAACGTGAGATCACTACGAGAGTAAATGAATCAGCGCTATGAAAGCACAGAAGGAATGACTGCTACTGTAAACTGCAAGGCGGGCCAGGTGGGGCGCAATGACAAGGAAAGGGCCTACGGAGGGGCGACGTGAGCGGGTGGAAGGATGGGCAAGGCTCTAACGAGCAAAACTGGGAGGGCGGCGCTGCGGGCAGAGGAAGCGGCCAAAGCAAAGGCAGGAGGGGACAGTGCAGAATCTGTTCAGAAAACGGGCGGCTGGCACCTGGGTACTGGGAAACGAGTGACGCAGGGAAGACCTCACAGGGAGGCGGGGATTAGACCAGGGCGGCCTGGCTAAAGGGCCCGGTCTCCTCCCCCGTGAGCAGTGAGGAGCGATTCAGGGTTTCTTGGCGAGACTGGCATGATCAGTGCTGGGCTATCCTCTCCTTTGTGGACAGAATCGTATCAACAAATTGGCATCTACATCGTTGGTGGCACTGACCTGGCTGTACGTTCCCTGGTAGAAGACAGGGTGTGCCCTCCCATATTTCTCTTCAAAAGAATGCATAAATGAAACAATGTCCCCAACGGGGTCAGTGACCCGGCTGCGAGGGTCAGGCCGTATAAAACGAAGAGCAAACCTGGGGAGGAAGGAATAAATATCACATGAATCAGCTTACTGTCGTGCACATGGAGCGGGCCGTCTGCAGAGGTTCCCGTCCCGGCATGGCCGCAAGGGGGCGGGCGGTCTGGGGGGAGGACCGTCACACCCGAGAGGACAGCCCGGCTCAAAGGCTGCCGAGCAGCCAGTGTTGTTCCATCTCCTATTCGAGAAGAAGGCGAACTACGAGGGTTATCAATTTCAACACTGGCCTAAACAAATCCTGAGTGCTTTTTGCAGAAAATGTAGGGCTAGAAGAATTGGGAAGGGGAGACGCAGTATCCAAAAAGAACACGGGTCAGGCTGTGTTCCCAGACTCTCTGGAAGGGCACTGCCTAATCCGGGAGCCATGTGACTATGTAAACTCAATTAAATGAAGTGCAATAAAAAAGGCAGTCACTGCAGTCACACTAAGTGCCCAGCAGCCACAGGTGGACAGTGATGGCCACACCAGACGGTGCAGTGATAGAACGTTTCCTCCATGGCAGAAAGTTCTGCTGGACGGCGCTGGCCAGGACACAGCGGTCTCTTTCTGGTTTTCCTACTTGCCTCTCCCTTTCCGTCCTCCTGGAATTTTGAATTTTTCGTGCATACTCTCAAGCTCCTCTAATTACGGACAGAACCTGAAACCCAAACTTGCAGTCATGACTTACTTGCTCTTCAAAGAGGCAAGTAAATTCCGCCTGATGGTTCACGGCTGATGGCGCCCAGGGAGGGAATCACACGACCGACCCAAGGGCGCGGCAGGTTTGGAGACCTGGCAGCCATGGTGAGGTTAAGGAAGGTGCCACCCGTCTGCTTCTGCAGAGCCCACCTCATCATGTGTGCACAGCACACTTATCTATGCTCTGGGTCTCCACAGTAGGCAACGGGGCGGGGGCTCAACAGGTCACTGTGCTGGGGAACATTAAACCAGTTGCCTGGATGACACGGTTGCGTTAAAATTAGTAAAACATGCCATGCATATTTTTTTCCAAGGAAAACAAACAATATTCAAATGCTTGAGGTGGCTAAACTATAACACTTGCCTTACCAAACCTTAAGCCAATTCCAGTTCCTCATCCCTTCAAATTTCCTGTGTGCATACAATTTCACTTGGAATTTCTCCTAATAAAGTCAAACTGATTGACACAAACATTCCAGAGCAAATTAAAAACAAATGTACAAAGTTGTGTAGGGTCAAATAAATGGCAAGGACACTAAACTTTGGGTGGCACACAATGCAATATACAGATAACGTATTATTGAATGGTACACGTGAAACTTACAGAGTCTTTTTAACCAATGTCACCCCAATAGATCTAATTTAAAAAAGAAGCTGTGTATGTGGGTAGAATCCCTTTAGATGATGCATGTATGATAACTTTATTTGAAATTAAGTATTTTAGGATTATTTTATTAGTCTTTAAGTTTTACTTTGATGAATGAACGGCTAAACCTTTAACTTTTTTGTTCTCATTACAATGTATCCCTGGCCCACATAATTTAGAACAATTAGGTTAAAAAAAAAAAACAAAACCCAGCAGAGACGTCACCCCAGACTTCACAAGCCCACCCTTCAGTGAGGCATGGATGGAAGGCGTGCTAACGGGCTTCCTGCTGACAGGTGAGAGCTCTGCCAAAGCGAGGGAGCCATCAAGTGGGCAGCATCCTGAACCGCCACACAGCCGGGTCCGCGCCGGGGCCGGGCTGCCATCTGACCCTGTGTCGGGGCGGCCTCTGGGCCCTCTCCTCAGGCCTCTGCTCCCCGAGCAAGGCAGAGGCTCTCCCGCATTTGAGGGGGGAACCAGCTGCACTGTGTGCAAGGCCCAGACCACAGGTTCAGGCGCTCTCAGCCTGGATGCCCATAAACATTTCAGGCCCCTAAAGCCAAGGTGGGGGCTCATCTACTACTCTGCGCCCTAGACCCCACAGCCCAAGCCTGATGTGCCAGCAGATGGGACCCCCTGGACAATCTGACCCCTGTGCAGCTTCCAGGGCTGAGCTCTCGAAAGGGTATGTAAAGGAAGTGAGACGAAAGGTGAAGGGGCGAAGCACGGGGTGCGCACAGGGAAAGGCTGCAGCACCCGCAACCTGTGGGTCTGTGGGTCGCCGGGCAGAGGCGCTCCTACGGGAGTGTCTGCAGAGGTGAGACTCCTGAAAGCGCCCGGAGGGAACCGAATCATCTCAGGGCAGGAGAGCTGGCTGGGATTATCAGCAGTCAGACGGAGTCACAGATGGCTCCCGGTGAGAGTCACCAGGAGTGTGAAGCTGGGAGGCAACGGGGGTCAGAAAGGAAGGGGTGTGAGGGCTAAGGGCGGGGCGGGGGGGGGGCGAGGGGACAAGCACGGTGGGAGGAGGGCGGGGGGTGAGAAACATGGGCAAGCTGATTCTTGAAAATGACACGCAGGATTACTTTAAAACAATTTCATTTGACCACATCTGTTGTTTTGTCTGAGTAATTTAAAATATTTTCATGCTATGTAAAAAGACTGGTTGGGAAGAGTACTCAATCTGATGACAGATCGGCAAGTCAATACTGACAAGGCATAAACCTTATTCTGGTCTGGGTTTCAGCTTCAAAGTCTACCCTGTTGCTACTAACACAGAAATACAAAGGTACGTACCTAAATATATCAAGTATTGTGTAATAGGTAAACCGGAATGGAAGCATTATCAAGTAATAACCCCATCCGAGCAGCCCCTGAAATTCCAAAAACAGAGTTAAATACCATTCACTCATTCCCTCCTGCCTTACGAATGGCCTGCTCCGCTCCTACTTCATCCCCCGCGCGACGCCTCCTGCAGCTCGGCTCCCTCCTCCTGCCGCCTCTCTCCGTTCTTAATGGCCCACCGCCTTTGCTCTCCTTTCATCTGATACTGTCGTATTTTTGTTTTATCACACAATTTTCATATTAAATCTGCTTCAACATTTTTCTCTATAGCTACTTACGTTAGTTTTCAAGCTCAACTGCAAGTTTCCCTCCCCAAATCATAACTATTCATTCTTCCCTTTTTTCAGATTTGTACATTAAAATATGGTATACAGAAACAGCAAGGAAGATAAGCACTATTACTACGTTGGACATGTGTATATAATTGACAATTATATTAACCACAATTATAAATCTCCATATAGCTGCTAATCTTAGTAATAATGCTAATTACTATTTTAACAATGTTGATTATTGCTGCTGCTGCTATTAACTAGTTTATGTGGCGACAGCGCTCCGGTTTAGGATGCACCGCTTCCGCACCACACTGCGTTAGTCCGGGTCCCGCCCGTGCCCGCAGCAGGGAGCTCTGGAGCCTCAGGGCTGACACCAGGGCTCCAAATACCGAGGAGCCCAAAGCCAACCCGGAAACACGGGCATATACAATATGCTATAGGAATCTGCCCTTCTACTTCAGAATACCCCCAAATGACTGCTTGGGAACTCCATTTAAAAACACTGTCGAGTACTCCACAAAAAGGTGTAATGATGAAGGAAATTCTAACAGTTGCAAAGTTAAAGGGAGTGCTTTCTTGGAATTCTAAATCCAAGTCTAACAGGTGAGTGTAACCCCAAGAATTAAGAGAAACTCTAAAAAGTTCCCTGGAGCTCACTATCGGTATGACCATCTGACCGCCGTAAGGACACTGTGAGCAACGTGAGGTCCCCTCTTCACGCATCTCTGGATCCCCAGCAGCCAAATACCAGGTACCCCGGAGTGCTCTTAAATGCCCGTTGAATTTCACTGCACCGCTTCCTTGCTCCTAGCCCTTTAAGACTAATTTCAAAGACATGGCTAAGGCTCCCAACACAGATTCCAACTATTTCCCTAGAATTAGCTTAAAATTAAGTAAAAAGAAGCAACAAAGAACTCAGCAAACATTCTAACTTAAAACAGGAAGGTCTTGTAAACATGCAGCAAACATTTTTAGACATGTAAATACAACTACTGTGTACTCAAAACAGGGTGCAGAAAATGCTTCAAATAACTGGCAAAGAACGACCTCCCTCCCCGAAAAATGAGTAGTTACTATATTAATTACTATGTTAATTCATTGAAGAATTAAGGAAAATAATAAACCCAATAAATCTACCAAGGCGCCAGGTCTAGCTATACATTCTGAATATTTCGTGTGCTCCTATCATACAGAGGTCAACATAACCAAGTGAATGGACTTATAAGTACAGGGGGAGTCCCAGTTATGAAGTAACTTGCCCTTGGTTGTGGTCTTGAGACAACATAGCTGTAGATCCTGTGGTCTGCTGTGTTCACCTGCAGCGGTCGAGATGGAGGGGGGTTGAAAACACTTGGTACACCCTCTTGCTCATTCAATCTGTCCTGTACAGCAGCCTGAGAAGAAAAAAAGAGTAGAAAGAATTTCAGTGATGCTCAGACCCACTAAGAAGAGATGAGGCAACAGTGGCCTGGTGTTATAAAACAGGTGACCTGAGAAGGACTTGTAACTCGCTCTGGAGGGAGGCCTGTGGGCGAGGGCTCCCGAATTCACACCCAAGAGGAGTACAAGGCGCTTGTCCGGAAGTCCCAGTTAGGCAGCAGGCACACTGCTTCTGCCCGGATGGCGCCTGTTACCGAGGGCGGGTGGGACACAGGCGCTTAGCAGCAGCGGCAGCGGCAGCGGGACAGCGCCCCGGGGCTGTGCACTGGAGCCGTCCGACCGCTTGGCTCTGGAGCAGAGAAACTCAGCCGAAGCCCAGCTCCACGGCTCAAAAAAGGTGCCCAGCTTATGAGCCTGTTTCCTTACACGCAAAATGAAAGAGCAATATTTTTCATGGTTGACTTGAAAATTTAATGAGATGACCATACATAACAATCCGAATACAATTCCTGGCTGTCAGGTGATACTCAGTGAAAAAATCTGCCTTCTTCATTCTGCCCCTGAAAGTGAACACTTGTCCCAGTGTACTGAAAAATTGGCCTTAACCGAAGAAAAGTTTTGTCTTTGCCTTTGGCTTCTTTGGAGATAATCTACATCATACCTGGTAAAAGTGATTCTACACTGAACCTTAGAGTGGATCTGGGCACCCCAGAAAAACGGAACCACGTGATTTAGAGTGGGGACTTTGGATAATGCAGCATCAGTCAGCCTGGAGACTGAGTTCAATCACGCAGGCAACCAATCAAATCAACGTGCCTGTACAGCTCTGGGTGCTGAAGCTGAGGTGAGCTTCCCTGGCGGGCAACACTTACTGCAAACCCTCACATCTACACCAGAGGCAATGTGTCCTCATACTGTGAGAGAGGAGCGTGAGACTACCATATGGGTCTCTTTCTTTAGCTGACTTTCATCCACATCCTTTCCCTGTAATAAACCGTAACTGTAAGTGTAAGAGCTTTCAGTGAGCTCTTCTAGTGCATTATCAGCAATGAGACAGGAATGGGGGACCCCCTGAACTTGCAGATGCTGCCTGAGTCGGGGTGCTCTTTTGGAGGACTTGTGTGCCCTCTAACCTTGGCTTTACACTCACAGTGTGGCCGACTCCAAGTAGTCCTATAGTTCTGTTTTCGAGTATTAAGGGACAAGCCAGTGGTGCAAGAACAGGCTCTCAACAACCGCATGTCCCCATGAAAAGGACCACAGTGGAAGCCCACAGCTGCACTAAGCGGCACCTCGGCACGCGTCATTACCTCGTTCTGGGACACACAGCGAGTGCCAAACCGCGGAGCGCGGACTGCTCGCGCTATGTGAGGCTGACAGGGGCGCCTGTTTCATCGCGAGAGAGGGGTGCTGAGTGCCGAAACATCTTTCTCTCATCAAAATGCAACGAGTACAGGGTTTGATGGATTCTAAATGAATAAAATCTTAAAAAAAATAAAATAAAAGCTTCTCTGATGAGTTTGGTGGGGCAAGTAACGAATTATGTAGTAAAATGCATCGACATTCGGAAGATCTGTAATAATTCAGTGAACCATTATTTTCCAAATAACCAATGCATAAAGTTACAAAACCATGCATTGGTAAGAGATCCTTTCAAAGTACAAGAAAGACCAGCCAGACCTGAAGTAAAAGATGATCGAAGTTCCTTGATAGAGTTTCAAATTCCGAAGTGCAACTAACCTTTAAGAAACTACTACAGTATCAAAGACTATCCAGAGTTATCTGAAAAGGCTATTAAAATACTCCTCCTAGCCCTGGCTGAGGTGGCTCAGCAGACTGAGCTCTGGCCTGGGAACCAACGGGTTGTGGGTTCGATTTCTGGTCAGGGCACATGTCTGGGCTGCAGGCACGTGAGAGGCAACTGATCGGTTTTTCTCCCCACCCCCCTTCCTCTCTTTCTGAAAAATAAATAACATCTTTAAATAAAATAAAAGACTCCTCCCATTTCCAACTATGTATGAGGGTGAAGCCAGATTTTCTTCACATACTTCAACTAAAACTATCACAACAGATTAAAGGCAGAGTTGGATATGAAAATCCTGCTCTTTTCTTTTATGCCACACATGAAAGACATTTGCAAAAATCTGTTAATGTAAGAGTTTATTTTAAAAATATACTTTAACAAAAATTTCAGTTTTAGTTTGTAATATGGTAATAAATAGCAATATACTTAATCCATATAAATAAAAGTTCTTTGGAAGTTCTCAATAATTCTTAAGTGTAAAGAATGACATTCAAAATTTAATAATCTCTGGTTTATTTAGGGAAAAACACATGTATTTTTTAAACAGGCATAAATTTATCTGGAAAAAATTAAAAGAAATTGTAAATACTGCTATGCTGTGGACGTAGGACTGAGAAATAGCGGTAGTCATATTTCATCTTATGTTTTGTTTAAACGTTTTAAAACTGAAATTCTGCACTTAGAAATAGAAGATTCTGGTCTTCCTACTGATATTCCCTCTTCTAAAACAGAAACTTTTGTTTTTATGGAAACCCAAGATGCTGCCTTAGAAATCAGTCCTAGACCAAACGTTTTTCATAAAAAACAACCATAAACTTTAAAAAAATCCTATAATTGTTTTCATGTATTAAGTATTATTTATTGTAAAGATTTTATTTATTTATTTTTAGAGAACGGGCAAGGGAGGAAGAAAAAGAGGGAGACACACATCGATGTGTGGTTGTGTCTCACACGCCCCCTACTGGGGACCTGGCCTGCAACCCAGGCTGTGCCCTGATGGGGAACTGAACTGGCCACCCTCTGCTTCACAGGCCGTCACTCAATCCACTGGGTGACACCAGCCGGGCTTGAATATTATTTTTATGAGTTACTAAAATAGACTAATAAAGTGAAAAAAACTGTAGATAGAGCATGATCCCACCTGTATAAAAAAGAAAATTATATATAAACAAACAAAAAAAGTATGAAGAATATACACTAAAATTTAACGCTGGCAAATAAGAAAAAGAAAAATTAACACTAGCTATCGATGAGTGGTGGGATTACGGGAACCTTTTCCTCTACATGCTTTTTGGACTTCTTTGCCTGTGTGGGGTGCACATACACACGCACTTAATATTTCTGCAAGTCACTGCATGTTCAAGAATGGTTGACAGTGTATCATAATTATAAACCAATAAATAAATAAATCACTTGGGGAATATTAATGAATCAAACTAGAATTCAGTCTTAAATGTAAAAAAGAGTAAAACTAACCAAGCTGTAAAATATCAAGCATTTATCACAAATTGAAATTACCTAGAATTAAGTTCCATGAGAGTAGGGACTTAGTCTCATTCACCGGTATGATGCCAGAACCTAAAATTTAATTGCTCAAAAACAGGTGCTGAATAACTACCACGTGGGAATGTAAGTTATTTTCAGAAATCCAGCACCCTATTCAGGTAACATACCATAATCAAAACAGTAATTTCAACAGAGATCAAAGGGTGTTTGATAAAATTCAACATCCACTCTTGATATATCCAAACTATTAATATGACACAAATGAATGAACTGTCAACAGACATTTACTGAGAGTTTATGAGATATTAGGATTAGTTCATTTAGATCCTGGGAATACACCAGTTAGCAAAACCGGAAAGAAAAAAAAAAAAATCTCTGTTCACATGAAGCTTACACTCTAGTGGATCTACTGCAAAACCACCACCAACATCAGTGACAAGAAAACATACAAGACATTTTAATGAGAACAAAATTTTACTATCACCCATATTAATTGACATTGTTCTGAATTTCTAGTTAATCAATAATCAAATGAAAAAAACAGAAGATCCATATACTGAAAAAAAAATCACTGCATTTCAGATGATGCAAATACCTAGAAAATTCAAAAGAACATACTATAAAATCTGTAAAAAAACAAAAGTTTACATTAAGGTATCTGGTTACAACCAAATATACATGGATGTGTGATTACAACCAAATATACATAGGTGGGTGGGTGGGTGTGGGGTGTGTGTGTGTGTGTGTAAAAAACAGTTTTCTCGCCCTAGATGGTGTGGCTCAGTAGACTGAGCACCAGCCTGTGAACCAAAGGGTCGCTGGTTCGATTCCCAGTGTAGGGCATATGCCTAGGTTGCAGGCCAGGTCCCCAGTAGGGGACGCACAAGATACAACCACACATTGATATTTCTCTCCCTCCCTACCTTCCCTTCTCTTAAACAAACAAACAAACAAACAATCTTTAAAAAAAAAAGCCCTGGCTCTGGGGATTGAGTGCCAGCCTGGGAACCAAAGGGTCGCCAGTTCGATTCTCAGTCTTGGGCACATGCCCGGGTTGCAGTAAGGGGTCCACAAGAGGCAACCACGTACTGCTGTTGTTCTCCCTCTCTCTCTCTCCCCCCCTTCCTCTCTCTCTCAAAACAAACAAACAAACAAAAAAAAAGATGCACTAAATATTGAGGAATTTGGTTACTATCTTTTCTATGATTTTACTGTATAAATTTTGATTATAAACCTTCACCTTTAACACATATTCATTTTTAAAGACCTAAAGAGCTGTAAATCTGAAAAACAAATCTACTGAGAGGAAAGATTCCTGTTGTGGAAAATTACATGTCTTTGAATCATTATCAGACCATGGAAAAAGAAATAAGCTCGGAATAAATCCTGTTTTACCTCTATGTTCCAGTTATGCTGTTCCAAGGTATGACGACATTGATCCATAGATTCTATGCCAGTCAGGTCCTGAAAAGGACAAAAACAAAAAAGTTACTTAGGGAAAAACCAACAGTACATCTGTAGATATTTTCATCCCTGAAAGAATACTTAGGAATACTTCTGGGAAAAGACACTGAGAAGTGTTGAAGATAGCTGGTCAAGTGTGGTAAAATTTCACTATTCAGAATTTATCCAATCAGTTCTAGAACAGAGTACTCCCATAGAACAAAAAAATGAAAATTCTTGTCTTTCACAACTTCAAGGTTTTCAATTAAGACTGATTGAAATTAATATTCTCCTCTCAAATTCATGTTTAAAAAATTATAGATTTCTTCAACCTCCAGTACCAGCAAAATATTCTTCAATGCTAAATAATATTCTGTCTATAATACATAATGATATTATAATGCAAGTTTCCTGCAAAACAGAAAGACTTTCATTAACTTGCATTGTTTTACCTATTGGCATATAACCTAACTTACAATATGAACTGCGTACAACTTTTTGTTAAAAGGAGCCTGTAATTCAGATGCTTCCCTACAATAAGTACTTTCTCTACTCCCTTCTCCTTGGACTCTTTCCCAGGTTGCACTTCGTGTCAGACCCAAGCTCCTTTTCTGGCTCCTCTTCTTGCTTCCCTGTTAACACAGGAAGTTCCCTGAGGAAGTGCCCTCGGTTTTTGACTCTACACCTCTCTCCCTGGCAATCTCATTTAATCCTCAGCCTTCAACCACCCTTTCTACTCAGATGATCCCTAACGTAACTCCTGCACCCACCATCTTTTTTTTGAAGTTTAGGAGCACTTTTTCAACAGCCTATTTAATATTTCCACCAAATCTGGCATCAGCACCTCAAGCATATGTATCATTAAAATCCCTATATGTGCTAACGCACAACCGCCCTCCAAAATATACAGACTAAGATGGCATCTGGAATCTCAGCCTCATCTTTGAGTTCTATCCCTTAACTCCACACTTCAGCACTAATCAAGCTCTGACTGTTCTCTGTAGTACATCTTAACCACATTTCCATCCCCACAGCCACCACCTTTTTATAAAGATTTTTTTTTTCTTAGAGAGAGGGAAAGGGAAGGGGGGGGGGGGAGAGAGAGAGAAACATGGCGAGAGATACATCGTTCATTTGCCAACTGAGAGGACCTGGCCCGCAACCCAGGTATGTGCCCTGGCTGGGAACTGAATCTGCACCCTGGTTTGCAGGCCGGTCCTCAATCCACTGAGCAACACCAGCCAGGGCAAGCCAGCATCTTTAATCAAGCTTTTATAAGATCGCAAGTGAATTATCAAAATAATTATTCTGTCTTCCTCCTAGAGTGTGTGTGTGTGCGTGTGTGTGTGTGTGTGGGGGGGAGAGAGAGAGAGAGAGAGAGAGAGAGAGAGAGAGAGACTCCTCTGCTCAAAACCTTTCAGTTGAATGGATAATAAATTCCAAAATCCTCCAGTTGACATTCAGGTGTTCCTGTAATGTGGCCCCAACCTAGCTTTCTATATTATTTTCTCACTAGTTCCCTTTATGTGCCCAACATTCAACAAATCTAACAGTTCCTGCTGGTGTCTAAATAACCAGACTTTCCATAGGGCTAAATCCTTGCCTTCCTTCAAGGTCTAATACAAAACCCAAGTTCATCCACACATGCTTTCATGCAAAAAATGTCTATTGTTATTGTCTCTCCCTTACAATGTCCAAGAGACTTAGAGATGACTACTGTAACCGTCTCCATCCTCAAGAATCCCTCTGCACCACCAGTGAGCAACAGGAGAAAGAGGCTGATCTCAACCTGACAAGAATGTGGTGACACCACTGATGAGTCAGGAGACCGAGATTTTTGCCTGAGGCCATGGACACGTCTAACCTCTGGATTTTAGCTTCCCTTATGTGCAAAACGGGGATTTGATTTGAACTGGGTATCCTTTCCAGAGCTTAAGAGAACAAAGCAAAAAGTGAGGTCTGAATTCTTTAGGTTGGCTATTGTTTATTTTTGACAATCACACCAGAGGTAATAATAAACTTCACTAATAGCTTTTTTGCGGTTGTTTAAACTGATGTAAAAATTTCCTACTGAAATTGAAAAGCTCTGCTGAGAACCCCCGAGCTCTGCTAAGAGAACCACTGGCTTTGCTGGCTCTGACGGTCCAGGCCTCTCACTAGGGCGGCTGCTGCCTCTGGCTTGTAGCCGCCCCCTCAGCTTCCATTTGCTTTCAGCCCGCTGCAGAGGACTGGCTGTCTGAACACACCTCTTCTCAGAGTGTGAACGACCGTTCTGTCTTTAAATACCAAAATTGTTTTCTACCTTTTTTTAAAAAGATTTTTTTTTATTTATTTATTTAGAGAAGGGGGAAGGCAGACAGAGGGAGAGAAACATCAGCGTATGGTTGCCTCTCACTTGCCCCAACTGAGGACCTGGCCCACAACCCAGGCATGTGCCCTGATTGGGAATCGAACCAGCAACCCCTTGGTTTGCAGGCCGGCACTCAATCCACTGAGCCACACCAGCCAGGGCTCTACCTTTCTTACGCACCTATTATTTTCTACTTTCTACTATGACTGTTACACTCATTCTGCTGCGTTCCCAGACAGAGAACACAGGCAGGCTCCTGGAGAGCGACCGTGCCTCGTCTACAGAATGCTCCACAGTACCTGGCACACAGTAAGGGCTTAAAAAGTTGCAGAAAAAGTTAGTCCAAGTTCAAAGGACCTTTCTGCATAAGCCTCAAATGTTGTAGGTATGAACTGAAATCCTCTATACATTTTCACGAAATTTCATTGTACATTAACACCCTGGCTTTTTTAAACTCCAAATGTTCTTACTAATGCTAAGCTGGCTCTTAAACATACAAATTTGTGCCCTCCCTGCTATGGCTCAATGGAGTGAGTGCCAGCCTGCGAACCAAAAGGTCATCGGTTCGATTCCCCAGGGCACATGCCTAGGTTGCAAGCCAGGTCCCCAGAAGGGGGCACATTAGTGGCAACAACACATTCTCTGCCTTTCATTCTCCCTACCTTCCCCTCTGTCTAAGATAAATGAGTAAAGTCTTTAAAAAAAACCTATTAAAAAAATAAAAACAAATTTGCCAAAAAACCTCTGAACAGCCAAAGCAATCACAGAAAAAAGAACGAAGCCATCTTAGAAAAAAAGAACAAAGACAGAGGTATCACACTCCCTGACCTCAAATTATACTTCAAAGCAACATGGTATTGGCAGAAGAACAGACACACAGACCAATGGAACAGAATTGAGAGCCCAGAAATAAACCCACATGTATACAGGGAAATAATTTTTGACAAAGGAGCCAAAAAGATACAATGGGGGGCAGAGGAAGCCTCTCAGCAAATGGTGCTGGGCCCTGGATGGTGTGGCTCAGTGGACTGAGAGCTGGCTTGTGAACTGAAAGGTCGCTGGTTCAATTCCCAGTCCCGGCACATGCCTGGGTTATAGACCAGGTCCCCAGCTGGGGGGTGTGTGAGAGGCAACCATTCGTTGTTTCTCTCCTTCTTTTCTCCCTTCTTCCCCCTCTCTCTAAAAATAAATAAAATCTAAAAATAAATGGTGCTCGGGAAATTACAAAGCCACACGCAAAAGAATGAAACTAGACTATTTGTCACCATGTACAAAAATTAACTCCAAGTGGATCAAAGACCTAAATATAAGACCTGAAATAATAAAACAGGTAAGAAGAAAACACAGGTACTAAACTTATGGACCTTGGTCTTAGGGAAGATTTTGTGAATTTGATCTTAGAGAAGCAAAAGCAAAAATGAATAAATGGGTCTATATCAAACTAAAAAGCAAAAAAAAAGCCCCAAAAATGAAGAAAAAACCCCCAAAACCCCATCAGCAAAACAAAACAGCATCCGACCTAATGGGAGAAAATGTTAGCAACCAGTATCTCAGATAAGGAGTTAATATCCAAAATAGATAAAGAACTCATACAACTTAACAAAAAAACCCCAACAATCCAAAATGGGCAGAGGATCTGAAAAAACACTTCTCCCAAGAAAACAAGCAAAAGGCCAACAGACATATGAAAAGATGCTCAACTTCACTAGCTATCAGAGAAATGTAAATCAAAACTACAATGAGCTACCACCTCACACCTGTTAGAATGGCGTCATCCACAAGACGGGCAACACCAAGTGTGCGAGAGCTTGTGGAGAAAAATGAACCCTCACGCATGACGGGCGGGAAGCGCAACTGGTACGGCCGCAACGGAAACCCGTGTGGAGCTCCTCCAAAAACTTTCAGAATTACCGTAATTAGCAGTTACCATATGACCAAGCAACCCTCTGCCGCGTATCCACCCGAAAAACTTGAACACACTTTTTTGCAAAGACAGAAGCACCCCTGTGTTCACTGCGGCATTATTCACAGTGGCCAAGACACTGAAACAACTGAAGAGCCTCTGACAGATGGCTGGACAAGAAGAGGTGGCACATGTACACAATGGAACACTGCTCAGCTCTAAGAAGAGATGAAATATTGCCATTTGCGATGACATAGATCGACCTTGAGAATATCATGCTAAGCAAGTAAGTCGAGAGAGGAAAAGTCAAGAACTGCTGATAGGTGGGATAAAAAACTAAAAGCAACAAATTAACAAACAAGACAGACAAAAACTGACAGACACAGCATGCTGGTTTCCAGAGGTGGGGGGTAAGGGGGGGGGGGGTCAAACACACGGTGAAGGAAGGAGAACTGTCTTCAGGTGGTAAATGCACAATGCAATATACAGACGATGTATTACAGAACTGTACACCTGAAAACCTATATAAACTTATTATCCAGTATCACCTCAATAAATTTAATAAAAATGAAAAAAAAAAAAAAAAGACAAGTTTGTACAATCTTCCTGGAAATCAGTCAGTCTGGGAGAGAGCTGGGGATTAGTGTTTTCTTTAAAGCTTCACAGCTGATTCTAATACACAGCCAGGCTACGAAATCTATGGTATTGTACAATTTTATGTAGGACAAGAGATTACAAGTCCTTTATTTAAAAAGAAAAAACTTAAAA